GACCTATTAAAACAGAGAAGAATTTCTACCAGTGGTTCATCAGTTGTTGGTCACCTCAGACCCTGCCAGCCTGGGGTGGGATGGAGGGAGTAAGGAGTTGTGGGCACAACACCTGCACTGCCTTGTCCATGACTTGCAGCCTCAGTGGAGACACAGGGATCTGAGTAACCTGAGTTCAGCTCTGTTTTGGGACATGATTTAGTTGCATTCTGAATGACTATCCTACTGTTTGTGGAATGGGATTAAAAAGGGGGAGAGCAATGGGAAGGTGTTCACCTGACTTGGGTTGTGGATGAATCCAGACACAGCCCAGAAAAAAAAGGGGAAAATATCTAATGCCATGTGGATCCAGTATCCCTGGGGATGGTTCAGGCAGACTGATGATGCCAACAGGGAAGAATCCCAAAATGGGCACATGGTTTTGGGAATTAGTACCTGTCCTCCTGTGCTGCCATCACCTCCCTAAGTACTACCTGGATTCCTCTTTTTCTGTGTGTTTTAAGCATGTTGTCACTTTCAGATGGAGAGTGTATCTTTGTGAGATGATGTTTGCATATTGACGTGATAAAAGTATTTAGTAGTGAAGCAGATAGATTTAAAATAAAACAAACTCTGCTTTTTTCTTGAGAGCACCAGAGAATATGTCATGACAGCCCTTGTGACTGGCCAAACCTGATGTACCATAGCTTGGCATTAAAGAGCTTTTTATCTGCTGGCTCATAATGTTGTGACAGCCCTTGTGACTGGCCAAACTTGATGTACCATAGCTTGGCGTTAAAGAGCTTTTTATCTGCTGGCTCATAGCTCACTGTTAGGTAGCAATGTCAGCTGGATATGCAAAAGCTTCTGCAGTTTGTGAGTGAACCTTAATGATTTGACTTTATTGTTCTAAGTGTCAAACTGCTAAGGAGAACACGTGCTGTACCCTGGGAATTTTTCACTTGGGTGAGTGGAGAGCGAACATGGGAGGTGTAATCATCTCCTGTACAAATATGTCACTGTAACTTGATGAATTTTTTAATTTCATGCTGATAAATGGTACAGATGCAGCCTGGGTGGGTGGGGAAGGGAAGACAGGTAGCCCTCACATGGCAGAAGGTCAGGGTTAATGCTACCTCCAGCGTTATAATGACAGATGGGATGCAGAAACCTTCATGTCCTTGTGATTAGCACGTGCTTTCCTTGGCTGTGCATCCAAAGGATTTAGCAAGCCCGAGTACACACTTCATTTTAAAACAAACAAATAAAAAGTGTGTATGGCTGTATTGTTGAACCTCTCAGCTGTTTTTCTTAAATATCTGCACTTTTGAGGCAAGTACTGTCAGCTGCTGTTCTTCTGGAGATGCGTGGGGTGATCCATCACTGGGGACTTGCGGTGGGTGATGTATGAGCACAGCACAGCGACCTGTGAGCCTTTGATGTGTAACTCATCAAGATAATGTTGGCAAGCATTGTACAAAAGCAGCATGTTTTTAAAAGTACTAAGATGAATGGATTCCTTGCTTAAGAAGTGTGAAAGGAAGAATAATAGCAGATTAGCTCCGGGATCCCGTGGTCCTGCTGGAGTTGTGCAGCACTGTGCAGTGCAGAGGGGCGGATGGAATTTCATCTTTTCTCCCACTTTTGACAGCAAAGTGCCTGGCCCTGGTTTTCCCCATTCTCAGGAAACAAAAGTGACATTAAGTCTTATTATGTGATAGCAGATTTTATCACTTTCAAAAGCAGTTTGGCCAGTCCCAAACCATTATGAGAAAGCTGAATTTTTTAAAGTTTTGTTTAGGTTTTTTTCATTTTATTGGGTTAACTTGTTCTCCTAAGAGTAGCCCTGATTTTTATCTCATGGAGGCATGTTATGGCTGCTGGTGTTTAACAGACATTTTAGGTGCAATGTTACAACTGAAACACCATTAGTTTTTAGTTCCTTCTTTCATGATCTTAAAAGACATGACAGGAAGAGTCCTGCCTTGAGAGCACCTTGTTGTGGGGACTCTGCACTCTGCCATCACTTGGGTGTGACATGATGGACTTATGTAGAGTGTCCTGTATGTCTGGATGCTGTTTTAGTCCAAATGTCCTAAAAGGATTATGTTGAAAATGTCTGTCTAATATGCCTGTTACAGAAATACCAGAACACTTTATAATATTAATACATATTTCTTTGTGGTTTCTGGAAAATGCACAAATCCTTTATTCTCTTCTCTTCTCTTCTCTTCTCTTCTCTTCTCTTCTCTTCTCTTCTCTTCTCTTCTCTTCTCTTCTCTTCTCTTCTCTTCTCTTCTCTTCTCTTCTCTTCTCTTCTCTTCTCTTCTCTTCTCTTCTCTTCTCTTCTCTCTTGCAAGAAAAATCAGAATAAGTTTTCCTTAGGGGCCGAAGGGCTGCAGATTCGTGTTATTAGTATATTGAAAGTCAAGACTGTGTTGGATCTCATGGTCATGAGTAAAGTGCTTGTCCCACTTTCATCAAGAAATGTGTGATGGTCTGATAAACTCTGCCCACCAGTGCAGTCTTGACAATGATCTTGCGCTGCAGACTGCATAATAATTTTCATTATTTTTAATTAAAGTTGAAGAAGTGCAGACTCCTGCTCAAATTAAGGTTGGTTGTGTTGCCGGAATGCGGTAATTACTTTAATTGATCACAAGATAGTTTCCTTGATCACCAATTAGACCAAATTACCGATCAAGTTTCAAGACGTGAAGAAATGTCCAAACTGATTTTATGTAATAGTGTTTTCATATCTAATCAAACCTAAATATCTTTTCCTTCCAGAGCCAATTGTATTTTCCCAAAGAAAGGTTAAGGCTCTACAAATATAAAGGTGATTCATAAACAATAGTGTTCCAATTCATTTAATTAGCAAAGGAAGTATTTAAGACCTTAATGGAGATTGCGTTGGGGAAATTGCTTGGTAGAACTGTAACTCATTTTTGGAGTGGGAGATGCTTTTTGTGTGCAATTAAAATAAACTAAAATCTAAGGAGGGAGTTGCAATGAGGGAGAACCTCTCTGAGCAGAGCAGGGCAAGCACGAAGGCTGAGTGCTTTGCTGTGACACTGGATTGCCCTGGTTGGGACACTCTTGGGCAGCTGGAGCAACAAGCATCAGGACCTGACCTGGGAAGGGTCATCTGCCCTGGAATTTTTCCCTTTTCATGCGTTGGACGGCCTTGGGTTGAGCAGCCTTTGGTAGGATGAAGCTTTGCAGCCAATGCAGTCAATGGAGATTTAACTGTGGGGAAGAGGTATTGGGATGGCATGTTGGTGCAGTGGTGGGGAGGGTTTGGTGGTCCACTGATGGGGAGGATTTGTCATCTGAAGTGTTGAGGAAGGTCTGCAGAGCAGATTAATTTCATAGACTCGTTTGCTTGCATAATTCTCTCTGTTTGCCTTTGCTGGAGCGAATCAGTCCTGAATCAGTGACTGTGTTTGTGCAGTGTAACTCAGGTCTGTACATGGGTGGGCGAGTTCCTGGGATGGACAGACACACACCAGTAGAACATACATGAACCTGGTAGGGGGTTTTATAGATTTATTTTTTCCCTTCCTATTTTTTCTACACAACCAGTTTAGGTGCAGACGTATCACTCTTTTAAACCTTTGGGGACATTTCTGTGTTGGAAATAACATTCCTGTTAAGCCCATGGACACTCTGAAAATGTTTCAATCAAGTATCATTCAAGCAGTATTAATGCAGAAGTTTTGCAAATCATTGCTAACATCTGATGCACAACTTTCTGCTTCAAGGCATGCTGCTGAAACGTGGGCACATTTTTATAAGTAATTGTTCACTCGAAGTAAAACTAAACCGAGCGAGAGCTTCAAGGGAAGTTAGATTTTCCTGAATTTTGGAATGCTCTTGGGTCAAAGAAAAAAGCTTTTTAATTGCTGACACTTTGGTGATTTCCAAATGACAAACCTCATTGGAATGATTTTCTCTGATTATAACGTTTGCATTCATTTTGACTGGCAAAGCGACCAACAAAGTCATACTTCATCCAGGCACCGATTCTTTTTTTTTTTCCTTGAAGGTTTCTGTAATTTGTGAGAGGAAAAAAGACTTGAAACTATTATCAACCATTATATGTTATTCATTGACCACATGTTTGTTTGAAATGGCCATCGCTTGGTGGAATGCAGCTAGATACATTCTCTTCCATAAATTAGCACGAAAAAACTACCTAAATCAGGTAGGGGTTTGTGGAGCTTGTTGTATTATAATCTGAACCAGACTGTAACGTGGATGTTCCTTCAGCTTTGTATGTTAATTCAGGTCCTGAACCGGATGGATGGAGCTTGGTATGAACAGAGCCTGTGCCGAGGGGTGTCCTGCTCACGCTCCCAGGCCCTTGGGCCCTGCTGCATAATTGCATTCTTGATTTGCATGGACATTCTAATTTTCTTTATTTGCTCCTAAGGATTTTGGCAAGGGCCTGCTATTATTTTCTTCTTGAGCCTGTGGTGATAAAACCTGCATCCTGGGGGAGCATGCCGAGCGGAGTGTAGGGGCAGAGGATTATTTGAACTCGTTTTAAGGGAAAAGATTTCTCATAAAGCAGAGGCACAAACTCACCTACTGCCTTTTTCCCCCTGGTAAAATAAAGAGCAGAATAGTTCCATGGAAGGATATGTTTCTGGAAGCAGTGTTGGTTGATTAGAAATGGCACTCTTTAGGGTGCAGGAAGGGATGAAGGGGTTGGGGATGAATGTTAAAATTGCTGTTGGATGCTGAAGGTAGAATCATTGGTTTCATGCCATAGCTTTGAATCCTGGAGTAAGTCATGTTGAGCAGTGATCAGGGTCTGCAGGGGATGATTTCAGCAGGGCAGGGAAATGCACCAGTGGCATGAGAAGCTGAAATGCTCCTTTAACACACAGAAACCTGAGGTGCAGCTGTCTGGGACATCTCAATGAATTTTTGAGATTTTGGAGTGAATCTTACCAATCTGCTGTCAGTCCTGGCAGGTGGAGGTGTATTTTCCTGTTTGCTCTCTCTTTTCCTAGGCTTTTGGATTTATGACCCGTGTTGCTCTACAAGCAGAGAAGATGAATCACCACCCAGAATGGTTTAATGTCTACAGCAAGGTAACGTGTTCACCAGCCCTAGTTATTCACGTGGCAAGCTAAGGAGACCCAACCACAGGCCCATTCTCTCTGCCTTTCTTTGTAGCTTATCTACAAGACAAGAGAATGCAGAGAGTGTCTTTATAAAGAGATCTGAGATTTTAAAGAGATGCTGAAATTTGCAGTGGTGAGGAATCAAGAATGAAGCTCTTTGCTCTTGCTGCCAGCTGCATGGTTGGGACCTGTGGCTTCACCTCTCTGGCTGAGCTCTAAAAATAAAATAGAAGCCTTTAAACTCTTATTTATCCAACCTGAATAAATTACTGTTTTGAAACTACTCACAGCTCTCATTCCTTTCTGTGCAGCAGGTCAGGAGCACAGTAGTGTAGGGTAGCAGACTATGCTGGTACCTAAATGGGAGCCTGGCAGTCTCAGTTTGGGTTTGACTTTTTAAAAATTCTAGGCTCCTGTGTCTCAACATAGCAGCTTATAAAATTTGTTTATAATATTACCTAACTGATGGTGGTCTCATATTTACAAGGGTTATAAGGATTACTGCAGCCCTGGAATGAAAGGTGCTGTGTGAAGGGGGAAATTATTGCTCTCCCTTTAGTTTCATTTTCTGATACTTCTCATTGCATTGTGTCACGTTGTTTGTTGTAGCATTTGGTGAATATATGGCAATCCCACTAAAAATACACTAGAAGAAAGGACATGTGGAGGAGCAGTCTGCAGCTCAGATCACCACCCTCGGGCAGGACATCCCACCCCTCCCCACAACTGAGGCTCTCAGCACAGACTTCACATCAGCCCTTCATGCCACACTGTTTAAGGGACATGAAATGATCACTGGATTGTTGTAGCATTTGGTGAATATATGGCAATCCCACTAAAAATACACTAGAAGAAAGGACATGTGGAGGAGCAGTCTGCAGCTCAGATCACCACCCTCGGGCAGGACATCCCACCCCTCCCCACAACTGAGGCTCTCAGCACAGACTTCACATCAGCCCTTCATGCCACACTGTTTAAGGGACATGAAATGATCACTGGACAAAGTCCTGGCTTCTCATCAGCCCTTCATGCCACACTCTTTTAAGGGACATGAAATGATCACTGGACAAAGTCCTGATAACCCACTCTTCCTGATTTTCTTGGCTTTCCAGAATATTCAGAATTTATGTTCTGTTTTCCCAAAGTCTGAGTCAAAGGCAAGACAGAGTAACGCCCAACTTGTCATCTGGCTCAGTCCTAACAGACCTGTGAGGCAACCACAGCATGGCAACATGCACTGGTCCATTTGTTTTGTGGGTTTTTTTAAATTAATCTGCAACAAGCTTAACCATTTTTTCACCTTCAGAGTTCTGGTTTTTAACAAAACATGTGAGTCCCTGACCTGGCTCTTGGCAGCTTGGTCACTGGCCCAGGTTCTTCATGAAAGCAATCCATGGAGTTTAAATGTAAAGACTGAGTGATTTAGTCAGACACCTCTTCTTGGATGAAACCCAAGATGCAAAGCCAGTGGTATTCTGTGAAGGGACTCGTTTTGGTGAGATTCCAGGCTCTGTTAAGCTCCTCACCTTCAGCATCTTCTGGTTTACATGAGCAGGGAGGGTGCAGCTCACTGCTTGCCAGGAGCATTGAGTAAGAGCAGTTCACTATGGAGACATGCAGTGTTCCCAGTGAACTGCTGTCCAGCTCACGTGTCAGGGATCAAAATGATTTTGTAACCTCTTTCTTCTCCTTTTGGACAGGTTCAGATAACCCTGATTTCCCACGACTGTGGGGGACTGACCAAGAGAGATGTGAAGCTGGCTCAGTTTATTGACAAAGCTGCTGCTTCTGTTTAACCAAGATGTAAATCACTTCAATGCAGTGTCTGCCAATATTTTGTGTTTAAATGGTATCCATCATTCCTTGTAACACTGATTTCGCAACCCCCTCGAGACAAGATATTTTGTAAAAAGAGTGGCTTAGCTTTGCTGACCTTGAAGACCTTAGTGTGGAGACCCATCTGGATGCCTGTGCTTGTCCTTTCCCATTGCTGGCTCTGCAGGAGGATGTAGCAGATAAACCAGTAATAAATAAGTTTTGAACAATACTTTTCTAGAAACTAAACTGAGCTGGAATGAAACCAGGAGCCTACCTGTGCATGTCAATGTTCCTCAAGCCCATGGGAGCTGGTGGCAGCTGCCACATGAGCTTGCCCCATGCCTTGCTGCCTCCCTCCTGTAGATTTGTACATCTCAAAGCTTCAAACAGCCTAAGAGCAGCCTGGCTGGGTCAGTCCCTCCTGGCTTGGTACCTCCAGCAGGAGGACAAGAGGGCACAGACTCAAGGGCAGGGTTAGGTTGGATATTAGGAAGAGATTTTTTCCAGAGAGAGTGCTCAGGCATTGGAATGTGCTGCCCAGGGAGGTGGTGGATTCACCATCCCTGGAGGTTTTCAAGCTGAGACTGGATGTGGCACTTAGTGCCATGGTCTGGTACCCACAGAAGGGTGGGACTCAATGATCTTGGAGGTCTCTTCCAACCAGGCTGATTCTGTGATTCTATGATTAGCAGGATTCTTGCTAAGCTAGGCTTGACTGAAGCTATGCTCAACCTTTCTTCTTTTTTTAATAGCTACAATTACTCATTGCAAATGTTGTTCCAGGAGTTGCAGATCCCACTGACAAGGTTTAAAATCATTCCTTCTGTGGTTTCAAAGTCTTTGTTTTTATCCTCTGATCCTCGCTGAGACAGATTTCCAGTGCCAGGAGGGGCATTTCATTCTGCTCCAGGCTTCAGGAGGGTCTCTCTTCTCCCCCTGCAGTCCCTGCTGAGTGTCCCAGCGTGCTCTGTCATGCCCTGCAAGCAGCTCCGGGGGCAGAGCTCCCTGCAGATTGACACTCTGAAATGCCAGAGTGCATTGCTCAGATGACACCGGCGGCACAGCTACTGAGAACTGAGATCCACCAGTGCCAGAATCTATATCGGGGGGATATGTGAGGTGTGTGGTCTCTCAGATATTTTAGGATGCAAAATGCCACGAGCTGCCACCCAAGTGTTCATGTCGATAAAAATAAGGAAGGTATTTTTTGTTAATCCTTAGCAAACATGCTGTCATGTGCTAATTGGTTGCAGGAAGAGCGATGTTGGGGTTTATTGTCAGGAACCCTATTTGGGCTATCAAATTAATGCCTAAAAAAACCCCAAATTCAGACTACGTGCTCAGATGTTCGTTGCCTTTTCCCAGTGAAGTGGAGGATTTCCCTGATATGGTTTGAAAATGGTCACTGTTGTCAGGAATGAATATAACTAAAACAAACAACCAGGCTGTGATGTCTCCTGTTACTGGTGGGGAAATGAAAAGAGCTTCACCCAGAGTTTTGACAACGTCTCTAATGAGCTGTGAAAAGGCTGTTGTTAGGAACTGATACATAACTCGTGTGCTTTGAATGAAACCAATAAAATCAAATTCCTCCTTTGTAATTTGTTTCTTTATTATTGTACATATGTGACAAAGCTGTTTAGTTTGAAGATAAATTTAAGATAAATAATATTTAGTTACTGGGAGGTCTTGGGTTTAGAATATTGATATTTATTTACATACTCCGAGGAGAAAAAAAAAACCCCATCAACTAATTCAGCTCAGAGAGCTGCACTGGCTGGCTATGGGACAGAGCTCTGCCAGGGGTGTTGAGAATCCTGACCAGCAAAGAGGCAAAAATACTCAGGAAAGCTCTAAGTTTTATGGTCAGTGCTTGTTTAGCCATGATTTCAGTCATAATTTAGTCATTTCTTGTTGACTTCTAGGGCATACCACAGACTGCCTGCAAGGTGAGCCTGGCTGTGTAACACTGATAATAATAACATGAAAACAGAGAATAAACAGCTTCCACTTTGTTTTGCAGTGAGTGCTCACGTGGGAGGCAATCTCACAGTGCAATCCTGGCTCTGCAGGTGCCATAAAGGGGGTTATAAAACCACCTTTTCTTTTGGAGCTGTTTTGGGGTTTTTTTTGTAGACAGGATTCCCAGCATTTCTGGAATTCAGTCCCAAACTGCAACGAGCCCCTGTTGAACTTCACTTCCCACCCCATCTCAGCAGCATCCCCAGCTCACCACTCTCCACAGAGCTGGGCAAGGGAATGATGCTGGGGACCCCTGACCTGCCTTCATGTAGCTTCCCAAATCCATCCAGGCAACTTGCAGCTGCTCCATGCTCCCACATCTCCCCAGGTCTTTTGCACCTGTAGCTGTGCTGCTGCTGTGTGCTGAGTGCAGGATGCAGAGAACCACGGGGAGGGGATTGCACAGTTTCCTTGGCACAGATGGAACTTCATAGCAAATTTAGACAGCAGGGATTGAGTGACAGGCACTGGATGTGGGCCAGGAAACAGCCTCAGGCTGTTCTTGTGGAGAGTATCTGCTCTGCTCCCTGCAAAAGTAGCCAGTGTGCAGGGCTTGGGGCTTTCCCAGGTGATGGTATCACTGGAGCTGTGCTGCACTGTGAAGGTACAGCTCAGGGAGCTGCCCAAACTACAGCTCCTCTGCTGTGCCAGTTTCTCCTGGAGATCAGCTTGGTACCCACTCCCCATGAGCCCTCAAAGCTGCACCCCAAGGCAGTTGTGTTGCTGCTCCTACAAACTCATCACCTTTCCCTGCTCACTGCCAGGTTTGGCTCATGGCTAGCAGCCACTGGGTTAAATACTCCCCTGGAGCATTTGGGTTTTTTGGGGTTTTTTTAGCTTTAAAATTGTGGCTTGAAATATTTAGGTAATCCATCAGAAACAGCCTTCTCACAAGCAGCTTTGCTGTGTTGAGACTGATACAACCCACTGTGTTGCCCCCACCAACTTTGTCCATGGTGTATGGGAAACACTGTCCCTAGGAGACCTCCAATGGTGCTCCATGGCCACAGGAAATTAAAAAGCAAAAACTTGAGGCTGAGAGAGCAGAGTAGGAAAGATGCCTGCAGCGTGCTGTGTGGTTGGGATTGCTGCTCAGTTCCTGCGAGGTTTAGATCAGCCCTTCACAGGACAGTCTCTGAAACAGGGCCAGAAAATAATCCTTTTCTTTCCCCATCGTGGGAGCTCAGGTCCAGTAAACTGCAAAAATCATATTGAAAGGAGAGGGAGCAACATCAGATGTGTTGCAGGGCTCTGGGGATGGGTACCCACAGCTCTGCAAGAACATGTTAGAAAGCAAAAGTGTTTTGGTTTGTGAGTTATGACCCAGTCTGGCTGTATCAGGATTCCTCCTGCCCTTCCTCCTCCTCCTCCTGCCCTTCCTCCTCCTCCTGGCGATTCTCCTCGGAGGTTAAGGTGTGGTGATGGAGTGACTGAAGAAGAGGTGAGGTTTTGTTAATTAACATCTCTCATCCAGAACAGTGTGGACATTAAGAAGACTAACAAACACGTGTCCTCACTCAGCTGCCTCTCCAGGCTGGAGGACAGATTGCTGACACTTTTCAGATGTCTGTGACACATCCCTCTCTTCAGGATGGGGCTGGAGGGATCACAGCATCCCTTGGGACGTGTCTGGGCTCCTGTGCTGGTGGCCCCAGGGTGAACACGATTGGAGTTTTTGGTGGGTTTATGCCCCTCAGATGGTTTGGCCCCAGGTCAGGGATGTTTGTTTGCAGCATCTCTCATTTTGGGTGATGAGCACAAGTCCTGGGTTTGCTCTGGTCCCTGCTCCAGCACTGCCTTCATGCTCAGTCTTGTAGCCTGCTAGGTCCTCAGCCCTGCTCTGCCTTTCCCTCCTCTGCAGGGCTTTCCAATCCTGCAAAACACAGCTTTGAAAGCTTCGTACTTTCCACAGCTTCTTAGAGGTGTGTGCATCTCTTCTGGCCCTTTCAGCCTCAGGTTAATGAGGGTATTGCCAGTTAACTGAAGTTAATGAGTTCTGCATGAGCTAGTTTCAGTTTTTCACCATTGTTTGCTCCAAGAAACAAATATTTGTGGCTTACTCAAAGCTGCACCTCGGGATTAGCCAAACGTGTGTGTCCTGGAACAAGTGCTCACAGACCGTCCAGACTCGCAGCACAGAGATGCTGACTAATTGAAATAAATTGGCAATTGTTAATGCTCTTTCTCCTAAAGATCCAAGGAAAGGAGCAAATGTGGATGTGAGTTATCCTGCTGACATCAAAGGCCATGTTTATGTAAACTCATGCTGAAGATCTGTCACAGAGCTGGACTCTTTGGTGAGGAACTGACAACTCGTTTGCAAACTTTGGAAAGAGCCCAAGCATTGCTGCTGGCAGTTCTCTGGTCAGAGCCAGCCAGTCCCACAGACTGCAGGGACACTGGAGCCCCAGGAAGGGTCCCCAATAAGAGCAGAGGTCTGTGCCTATAATTTTCTCTTCTGGAAGTGACCTGACAAGGTGGTGACATCAAACAGCAAGTTCCACCCCCCTGACTACACTGTCTGTCACTTGGGGAAGGTAAGGAGCACCCAATGGTTTCATGGAGCCACCATGGAAGTAGCACATGGAGCACCCAGATCCCTCCTGGGATAGATGAGTTGCCTCCATTTTTCTTACTAGATCCTTCCAGCATCCATTTCAGGCTGTTGCAAGGTGTGCTTTGTGCCATGGTCAGGAGGGGATGGAGGGAAGGGCTGGGGGTCTGGCCCCACTTGTGCTGGCTGCCAGGCCACTGTCCTCTCCTGTGCCACTGCCTGCACTGGCCCAGAGCCTGGATGAAATATATTTCAGCTTCAGACCCCTTTACCTATTTAATCCTCACCATTCTTAAAGCACAATTATTTGATCCTTTCCCTGGGAGCCCTTTGCCCCTCATGGTTTTAGCTCAGCTGGCTTAAGCACCCTTTTAATACTCAATTTTCACATTGAAAAATCCCTCTTGGTCACACTCCTTGATTTCCTTGTCTTACACAAGCCAGCTACTGTATGCAAACCTCTGAGCCTTAATTATATATCCCAGTAATATATAGCCAGGCCTGGCTAATGTCAAGAAACTCAGTCAGGAGCATTGGAGGTTTCTGAGAGCTCTGGCTGCAGGACCAGGCTCCCTATGGGGAAGCAAGTGGCACATGCCCAGCTCTGAGGGGCTGATGGGGCACATGATGTGTTGGGATGTGGCCAGGACCCTCCAGCACTGGGCAGTGATCAGTGATGATGACTGTGGTGGGGTGAGCTTGCCTTACATTTGAAGTGCTCCCTGTGAGTAGAGGGATGTTGTTTGGGACATTTAATACAAAAGTGCTCTTTTGGTGCACAGGGTCTGTCAGCCACAGGC